GCCTCATCAGTTGCCTAGCATTTGAAAAAAAAATTGTTAAATACTAATTGTTTGCTGCTTAGTCTAACCCAGGCTGCATGGTTGGTTTTCGTAGTTTTTTAGGTTCTTTTACAAAGATTCTCTATGAAAGCATCTTAATCAAATAGAGCTCCCATGTTCTTTTCTATGTTCCATAACCAACTAGCCTAGTTTAAGCGCGATTTCCAAGTGAAGTTACTAGTAAAATCCGAATACTCATTAAAAAATCATGAAGCTAGCCAATCGGAGTAACATGAAAGTCGGCGCCAATAAATTGAAATGTTGTTACGTACGCTGTTTCTTAACTAGATGCTCATTCCTTAACTAAATAGCCCACCAACGGCCGCGCGGTAAAGACGCTGAACACTGGTGGTTCAGTCCGAGGTTCGAATCTCGCGGACGGGCTGGCCGCATGGGCGGTTTTCGTGGTTTTCCCCATGTGTAACGTGTATACGAGCCAGTTTCCCTTAGAAAGTCCTCCACGAAGACATCCCTCCCTTTAGGCAGATAGCCCTCGTGTGCTTTGCCATAATTAAATAATCCAATCCAAATCCTTAATTAATATAATTGATTTGTAAATTCTACTAGAACTGACGGTAAGAATTGAAGTGGAAATAAGTAATATGGTGTGCAATCTTGATTAATATAAAATTAAAATATTTGCATAGAAAAATGTTGCATTCAGACAGAAAGTTTTTTTGAAATATTTGCAATTACTTTATAAGAAGGATTTATTAATAACCGTAATATTACTTATTATATTACTGATGATTAGGATTCAGTTCTTGACAATTACATTTTAAATTAGAATTTTTAAGTATATAATGAAAATACGCTACGCACAAAAATACATTTAGGAAAAAAATGAGTTGATTTTTTATGTTTAAAACTCTTAAATTCATTTAATAAACATCGTATCCTCGTTGTTATTGAATCCAGAATGTTGGTGTCGTTTATATTAATTATTCTTACTTGTCCACAGAATCTGCTGAACTTATCCAGCCATTAAGTAGCTGCAGATCATTTCTACATAACCATTGAACTTCCATTAATTCAGTCTCTAGAGGGTTGTATGCTTATATCATAATTTTGACTTTTATAAAAAATGATTATTCTAAATATTATGTTTCTATAAAAAATATATTGTGCTTAAAAATTGATGATAGTATCAGCCGCTCTTTCAGCCACTTCAAAAGCAACAGTTTGTTTAGAAATAAATTATGTAGTTAATGTCATAAAATTCAAATAAATCAAACGAAAATTCTCAGTTTTAGACAATTCGATTTAAACGAAGTAAAGTAGCAGACGATAAAACGCCGAAGGTAAAAAATTTATCGTTACAAAAACTACTCTTAAATTTTTAAAAAAAGAAAAGATACGAGAGAAATTTAAAAAAAAATAGTTAAAAATTTGAATAATATATCTATAATTAAAAAATAGTCTTTCATATAGTATTAATAAATATTTATTACGCATCATTGAGGGAAAAAATGTCATATAATTAATTCTTCGTAAAATTTTATTTGAAGTTTAAGGTTAAAAATAGCTGTGGCAATTCAGTGTAACAAAAATCCATAGACCACATATGGCGTTATTATCGCTCAAAAAAAAGGTGCCAAATTTCAAAACGCGAATTTATGTAAATTCGTGTATATCTTAGAAAATTTTGAATAAAATGTCTAATTTTTTGCAGATATGCTTAAAAATACACCTACTTAAGATGATGGTAAAATTTTTATAGGTTATAATTCAAATTTTTTTCGAAAAATCTATAAATTATTTAAAATAGAAATTTAAAAAAAAAACGCAAAAAATGGGTAAATTTTATTTGGAATGAACCAAAATTTCGAAATGTGAGAGAAAATCAAAAAAGTTTAATAAAAAAAGAGATATTAATAATATTTGCCAAATTCAATTAACATTGAGGAGCTAAAATTTTGAGAGCTAATATTTTAAAAACTATTCGTACGATTTTACAAAACTTGGTATTCTGGCATAATTTGAGTCGTAGAATCGAAATATGTAAAAAAATTGGTATGTTATTTCAGAAAAAGTCCGATTTTGTGTCAAAATACCTATGTTAGAATAGTGCTATATATAAATCTAATATATATCCTAAGTCGCGCTTTCGAGACATGAAAAACGCAGTTTGAATTTTGTCAATCGGCCCAATAGAACGGGAGATATAGCACTGTCCCATTTTTTTTTTTGAGCAGTGTACATTGTTTCTAAGGTATACTTCCCATACTGGAAGAAAATGTATGATACTCTAAAACTGCATTACAAGTTTCCGTTATGAAATTCATTATTGTGACTTATCTTGCTTGTTTGACATGGAAGATTTTACCAAGTACACGAATTTTTATTGTGGCCAGGATTGTAGGATTACATCTGACATTGATATGGGCCTGAAGCACTTCGTGGGTGGTATTTAATTCTGCCCACCTCCGTTCGCCACCTTTTAGTTCGGGCGCCACGTGCAGAATCATTAAGTTTTTCTTTTTCTTAAATGCTGGAGACGTAAAAAATGTGCGCTGCTCTCGCCGGTATTCGAACGCTGGACCTCCCGAATACGTGTCGAGTGGGCTTCCAGTTACACCACGAAGGCATGCGGAAAGGAGAGAGAAAATCTATTATTATTGTTGTAATAATTATCTATTACTAGTCTTTATTTAAATTATATTAATCTTCATTTAAATTGCATTATTTAACAAGGAATTCTGCTTCTAACTGTAGTCAAATAACAATATACAATGACCAAAATGTGACTGAGGACAGACACAACAGTAACTGCTAGTCGCATTTACTGGCCATTAAAATTGCAGCACCAGAAAGGAATAATCTGATGAATGTCAAAATCACATGAAAGCAAGACGAGGTTGGGATATGCAAATGGTTAGTATTTCAGCGCATTTAAACGACGCAGGAGAGAGAAACGACCTCTGAAATTCTGCATAAAAGAAAAGTTGTGCTGTGGATTTCTCATTCAGAAATTGCTTTGCAGTGTCGGGGTTTGCTCAGAATATCGTGTTATGCCTCGAATAATAAGAAGAAATGCTTACCAGTAGGTCTCGGAATTCGATAAAGGCAGGATCGTTGCCTATCGAGACTGTAGATCCTTCATATCGCCCGACTCACTGGTCGACAACCAGCTACTGTCATGCGAATATGGAATCAATGGATTGCCGAGTGTCATACAGAACGGCATGCAGGATCTCAACGCCCGCCCATGACTAGCGCCAGAGAGGACGAGATCAGCTCTGCAAACCCGTACCACCACATCATGGACCATTAGTCAGGAAATGAGCATGTTTACAGCATACACAGTATCCGCTCTTACGGTGCATTGACGTTTTAAGCAGCGTGGACTATCAGCAGGGTCACCTTTACTTAGACTTCCTTTGACAATGAGGCATAGAATGAAACGGCAATTCTAGTGCGCCGAACGACAAAACTGGATGCAAGAGTGGCACAATGTCATCTTTTCATACGAGTCCCGGTTCTGCGTGCAGTACTTTGATGGCTGTAAAATGTATCTGGAGGCTCCGAGGAGACCGCACGCCGCCTGCTTGCTCTCGATATCGGCGTAGGGCCCTGCACCTGGTGTGATGGTTTAGGCAGCCGCTGGCTACACGACACGCTCATCTCTGGTTCGGTTTGACTGTAATATGAACGCAGGTTGGTTCATTTCGGATGACTTAAGCCCAGTGGTTGTGCACTATCTTCGAGGCCTGCCAAACTCCATCTTCCAACAAGATAATACAAAACCACATGTTGCCCGTCGTGTTTTGACCTTCCTCAATACACATGGTATGGTTGCTCTGGCCTGCCACGGTCTCCAGATCTGTCACCCATTGAAAACATCTGGTCATGGGTTGCTGAGAAACTGGTCCGCCACTCCTCTCCAGCTAACACGGTTGATGAAGTGTGGCAAAGACTTAAAGCAGCATAGAATGAGTTGCCCGTTCGTGTCATCTAAGGCCAGTTCGACTTCATACCTAACGGGTAGGGTCGTTTTATCTGCGATGGGTGCCAGCTGTTTCTATATTTTCGCCCCTCCTGTAAACCCCCAAATTGTTTACAAATTTAATCATTTTGTTTTCATGCTATACTGTTTGCGTACAATAAATATCTTTCTTGTATTTGCTTTCTATTGAAATATTTGTCATCGCATTCTTAATGGTTAAAAAGAAGTATAGCTTTCTGTCACGTTCGATGCATTAGCTTTCTATCAGGTCCGATGTATTCCGAAACTTAATCCCATTCTATTTGTTTATATTTTGTTATTTTTGATTGGTTGTTTATTGTGTCTTGTTTATGATTTGTTAAAACATGATCTGTTGTAAAGTTATATATATAACCTCTGTAAATGTTTTCACTCTCTGCGTATATTTCTCTGCGTGTATCTCTGTAATAAATATTTGTTTTTCGAACCACGGCATTTTCAATGTTCACGGTGTTGCAAATTTAATGTCCAGCAGTGCAATTCATGCTATTCATATGCTCTTTCGAATCTGCAAGCTTTTTCTTTACCTCCTGTCTTAAACGTGGTGTACGTAGAGTAAGCATTTTCGATCGATAAATTTAGCAGGTAAAAGGAGGGTTACTCAAGTAAATACGGTTATGAATACTTAGTAAGTAATGGCCGCAAAAGACATTTTACATTGTTCATGTGTAATTTCTTGCATAAAACTTACGTCTTCAATATCCTATATTATTTGACCTCATCTTCCCTTGACTTAGCCTGAGAGAATGTTATTTACCAGGCGTTTGACTTATACTTTGTCTTCTCAAAGTTGAACATAAGGGTATATGCAGTTTTAAAGGTAAGGGACTTCTTACTCAAAAGGTGACCGAGTACAAATATCTAACTAATTAGTCACATGAAAGTAAGGAAGAATTGCCACAGATTGCCGCAGAATATAATCTTGGGCAAAATGAAATTACAGTTTTGCATGTCACAATTTCCAGCTATTTTTTACCTTGAATGCTTTGGGGATCCGACCAAGTTTCGCTTCACCTCTGGTCCACAGTTCATTACTGTCTCGCTCGGGAACCCATATTTCAATACTCTTGTTGTTACGGCTGAGGCTGAGGGACAATGTCACTGTAAGGAAAACAAATTAAATATACTTAATTAGGTTTGATAAAAAAGCATAGATTGATAATCAACTCTTACATCAGCAATCAAACATTGCTCAAACTCCATTCATTTTATGGGTTACATCATATATTTTGTTTTTCTAGCTGCATGGAAACTTTTTTGGATAAGTACTTTTCATTATCCCTAGATACTATTTCAATTCCAAATTTACATTTTCAGTTAATTTTGATGTTTTGAGACTGTTTAGTGGATAAATAATTTAGCCTAAAGTGTGCTGTACGAATAATACCTACAAGAGTTCTGGATCGTTTTTGTTTCACTGAATATATCAAAATTTCAGAGTTATAATATAAAATGATGGATATTATAATTTTATATTACGCCGCTAATCATATGCTATCAATTCATAAGAATAAAAAAAGTACTGCAAAAACTTTTGCCACTAGTACAGCAAACAATTTTTTAAAATTTACTCTGATTCTTAATGTTGGAGTTTGCTTTTGATTGTTATTCAGCGTGATGTTTAAACTTAACTAAATTCATAAGAATCTTAATTCTTGCTTAGATATCTAAATTTTACTAACGGTTTATAAAAGAATAACTAACACTTTAAAGTCATCTGCAGTAATACACTGCTGGCCATCAAAATTGCTATACTACAAAGAAAATCAAGTAGCAAAAGTTCATTTATTAAATATACGATTTAAAAAGGCATGAAAAATCTTGCAGGTTGTTTTAAAGCATGCAGAAAGTATAATTCAGTATACATAGTTGCTACATATATCAGCAACAGCAGCTGTAATCCATCCAGACATCGAATCGAAATAAGCTTGGATCACAGGTACAGTTAATTCATTCCATGCGGCTTTAAATCGATACCAGAGCTGATTAATCGTAATAGCTAGCACGTGATGGCTTGCGAGCCTCTCCGAAATCCGTAACTTGATGTTCTCAGTGGGTGCGAGATCTGGAGAACGAGGTGCTCAGAACAACAGAGAAACACCCTCTGCATCGAGGAAAGTCAAGACAACACGCGGAACATGCTGTTGTACATTATCTTAATGTATGATGGTGTCAGATAAGTCTCGAAGCAGAGCATAGCCATAGGTCTTAACACATCAGAAATATAACTGTGGCTGTCCACACTGCCGGTTATGCGAAAAAGAAGTGACCGAAGTTTGCGCATTATTGCACCCCATACCAGCACGTCAGATGCCAGGCCCTTATGAGGAAGGCGAATGCTAGTTGGCAACATTCGTTCTTTTTGGTATCTCTACACCCGGATACGTACATCATGGCACCGTGAGCACGAGCCTGGTCGGTACCTGACCAAACCCGAGCTTTGTAACCCGAGCCTGACACAGGAGATGCGACTAGCGATCTGGCCAGTATCATCGCTAGTCGCATGACCTGTGTCCAGTGCCATCCCTAGTCGCACCACTGTAGACGCCCCAGTCTTTGTGAGTTTTAGCTTACTTCTCGTCATAAATACCATTGAATTTCTGCCTTTTTTTAATTAATTTCTTTTTCTTTTTGCCCCGTCACAGTTTCATAATTTAGTCTTTTTCAACTGTCCTTTTAATTCTTTGCTTTAATTTCCAGATTAGGCCTGGTACTTGATGTTTCTGTCTTATTTTACATATTATTCTCTACATATCTAGTCATTTTATCCATGCCTTCTTTTATCATTGGAGACCTGTGTCTTTTTACGAATACGTTTTCTATTCGCCTCATCTCACTTTATTAACTAACTTTTGTACAATTAAGTAATGGGCTTAGTTTTTTAGTAGAGCCCTGGTCCTACCTGTATTTTATTGTCTTGCTTTACATATTATTTCTTTTACAAGATGCCCCTTTTTTTATTTTACAAAGGATGGCCTTCTCATGCAGGTTTTCCGTCTGGTCCTTCGGGGAAATCTGGGTTCACCCAAGTATCTGTCATTTGTCATATTATGTCTTTTCTCACTGGCTGGCTTTCCTGATACTTTTGTCTTCTTACATTACTTTCGTCTCTTCGCATTTTTGTATCGGATGTGCTGGCTAGTCACATTGATTTTCTCTGGGCCCGTGTTTTCCCGCAGGGACCGACGTTGATGCCTCCTGCCTACCTTTTATATATATTGTAAGGTACCTCACTTTGGAATTCTAAGTTAATGTTGGAAGTGAGGAACCTAGGAACTGAGAACTGATAACTGTTAATAAAATTAACATAATCCTTACATACTTAACAAACTTAACGACTTCAAAGCGAGCAATGGCAACACTGTACAGAAAAAACATTATCTCCTACGCACGAGAGTGTCTGTCAGAAATCCTAAAGATATTCTGCTTTTAAATGGTTTACGATTTGCTGCTGAATGGAATTTTATGTGGCATAAGCACCAAGAACGTAGTATTTAATAAATAAAGTAAACACAAAACGTTAATGATGAAAAGAACAACAAAAAGTTTTGCAAAGCCATCTTAATCTTAGTAAGTAAACTAAATATTGATATGATGAATTGATTAAAAAAAAACAAAGAAAAGAAAAAATGTATGTTAACACTTAGTGCTGCATCGGAAATCCTGAACGAATACTGCTATGCTGCTTTTAAAATTTTTGTAATTTTGATGTAGATTGTATATAGTGTAAGTTCGAAGACAGTAGTGCTTAAAAATAAAGCTAAAAAGATAAAAAATTGGTTAGCAGGAGTGAATGTACCAGCAAACTGGTAGACTGCGAGCTCAACGAGAGAGTAAAAAACCTTACCAAACCCTTTTGGGAGTTCGTTAAAATCTAAACTTTTCAGATATTTTATTAATTTTTATTATTAGTCCAAAGGCGCTTTGTCTCTGAAGGACTATTGTTTTCGTTTTGGTTTCGTTTCAAACATAAGGGTAACTTCAATTACAAAATCTGTTGCACAAAACGTAAGTATGATTTAACATATCATTTGGAGAGTTTTAAACGAAAATCGCTTACATATCTTCCATTTTCAGTGAGTACAAGCTCTGAATCCGCAATTCCTTTGAACAGCTCTTGAAAACACCTTATTTTAGTTGATGTAGGATACCCTGTATTAGATTTCGACAGGGGTTTCTGTGTGAATTTTATTCGTATCCTTTTTTCTGTACCTCCCCTAAAAGTTTGTAACCTAAATTTGGAATCACCCTGTATTATTACAAGCTCATAAACTTACTCTTCAAAACATTCTCTTCACCCAATCCTTTCGGATTTCTGGGTTACTTTTATTTCTTAAGAGGTTATCACATATGGCTACAGTCACGGCTAGAATGGACTTTTCTGAGAAACGAGATTCTGGTAGCACTGGTTTAAACGGGAGTATTCCCTGAAAAAAGAGCACTGCTGGAAGTGCAGTCTCGCCTAGCTACGGAAACGATGTAACGCCTAAGCGAGATTTTTTCAAACCTCACCGAAAATGTCTCGGCTGGAGCTTTGTTCCGGTAGAGACAACCAATCAGACGAAAGTTCTGCTTCTAAAGGATCACGTGATCCCAGTCTGAGCGATAATCGATTACTGTTTGGTGTTCAAGTCTTCGTAATAAGTGAAAATGGAAACCTAGCTACGTGGGTTTTCTGGAATTGTGCGGGTTCTGAGAATTGTTCCTTGGGACGTGAAGTCCCGCGTAGCCGAAACATAATGTGATTGGGACCTTACAAATCATCAGATTCTTCTTTCAGCTACCTCCGACCTCTTGGTCACGCCCTTATCTCTCCTTGTCTCCGATGTCTCATCTCGAGAATACCCACGTTTGAAATTATATATCGCCATGTGCCTAAGGGCTTAATATCATGGAACTGGCAACATTGCACTTTTGTGTGATAGCTTCGGCCATAGCGTGTATCTGTCTATCTATCTATCTATCGTTTAATGTTTGTTAAATTACTTGTCGGAATGACTAAACGTGATCTTGATATTTAGAAAAACTTTTCCGTTAAGCAAAAGTATAAAAAAGTGCTTATATTTTCGGGTTTATAAGATTTATTTAATTTCTGTAACACGTAATTACTAACTGTAACAGCAAACATTTTTCTAAAAAGAACAGTTCCAACTTCATTAAATATCAACAAGATCTTAGAGCTTCGTAACTTGCAGTCTTAATTTCTAAGAAGAATAATTCCAACTTCATTAAATATTTGGTGTAATTTAATATCAAGAAACTTGCATTAAAATAAAAATATATACACATACAGACAGATCAGAAAGCTTACTTTTGTCAATGCTGTACCAAAATTCCACAGAGCATGTCGAAAACGAGTTTCGTAAGGTCGTAGTCTCGTAAATAGCTTTTAAACTTGATATGTACCTGATGTTTTTCGATGACGTCGCAATGGCATAATGACCTGAAACAAATACACTCTAATGATTTCAAAGTATTTGCTAATAAACCAAACAAATATAAACAATTACTACTGTAAGCATATATAATAAACACAGCAAATTTATTCAATAATTTATTTCATGAACAACCAAGAAACACTTAAATTATTTAAATCTCAAGTTAAAGATATATTTTGCATGAAAACTTAAAACTCTACAAAGAATATTGAATGAAAATTGTAGAGTCATTAGATTTATAAGTGCAAAAAATATGAAAAATATACAGTGCCTTTGCTAGAAAACCAATCTCCCGATTGCTATTCGGATGTACTTCCAATTACAACCGAAAATATGTGGTAAAGAGGGAGAAAATACCTTATAATCTCTCCCACTATGAAAAGGCATCTGGAAGGTGGTGATCCAATCACTAAATCTTGGTGGTGACGAATTATCGTCCATTAAATTTCAGCTTGATGATATTTTAGAGTCTTTTTGAATTCTTTTGGAATCAGGAAACGTGAAAAATCAAATATGTCTTCACTGGGATTAGAACTCCGGGTTTTCCGACTACTAACCGGTTGTGGTTTGGCTTCGTTTAATTGATTACGGCAAAGCATAAAAGGTCTATCTGCCTAACGGAAGGGATGCCTACGTCGATTACTTTCTCTGGATACACGTTGGGAAAACGTCCGTGCAGGCAGCCGGTTCGCTAGTACTCGAACTCCAGACTAAACTACCAAGATTCATCGACTTTACTGCTCAGTCGCTGGTAGGCCTCTAGTCGGTTGTGCTTTTAATTACAGCACGAAGGCAAATGGAATGGAGAGGAATATCTTACAAAATGTAAAACCGCTCATGAATATGGGTATTTAACATGAATTCCTTACGAGTATGGATTAGTTTAGACTCATAATTTTGTATTTCCAATGCTTTAATTAATGCTTTTCTTTCGTACTTTTATAAATAAAAGATGAGACATACAGTCTTATAGAAATGTTCACTTTCTTACAGGCAGTTGATAAGCATGATAGATAGATTTGTTTGTTATACAAGGATTGGGATTGGGATACACGATCAATTTAAACTGCATAAAAAGTAATAGCATAAGATGAACTTAAAAGCGTAAAGTAAACCAGAATAATATGCTCAAATCTCTTCAAGTGTAAAGAAATACAGTAATAAGAATAATAAGAATTGACAATAAGGGTTTCTCTTTTAGTTTAAAAACCCGCTGTTCTTTAATGAGTAAGATTCCTAACAGATGTTATAGAATAAATAAAACAAAAAAAAACATTTTACAGATACAAATTTTTATTTCACTTTATTTTTTATTTGTTATATTTATGCATTTAGAATGACCCTACGGAAAGTTGGTCCATGATATGAGAAATAAGATACATAACTTAAGATGTCTGCAGTTATATTCCAAGTAAATGTTAAATCTGTAAGTGAATCTCCAAGCGTACTTGGATAGTTACTGGGCACCATATCGAAATTAAAATGATGTTTCGTAAAATTAAATGCCTTTTCATTTCGTTTGGCGTCCACATTTGAAACCTCCCATCATAATAATAGGAAAATCTGTATTCTTCATCGAGTATCGGAATTTTTCATCAATGTACTAAACAAGAACATCTTCAAATCTCCTGAATTAACAGTTAGATGATTATACACGATGATAGAATAAATCGTGACAGTCCATTAACAATTACATCAACCATACAAATATCGCTTGCTTCTGAATCATATATTCTTTTACGATGCTTAACAGTAAATTCTATTGGTACATAATTTATATCAATATTTAATAAATCAATATTTATATCAATAAATATTTATATCAATCAGATTAAAAAGTATAAAAATATTAAGAATTTTGTTTATATTCTTAAGAACTACGCTTATTGCTTTTAAAATGCTTAATTTGTTAATCAATAGCAGACAGGTTATTCCGGAATAATAAAACATTGGCGTGTGGAAGATAAAGGTGCTTTATTTTAGGCAGTGGCAATACAATGCTCTTTAATAGCCGAGGTAGTTTATTAAAAGTGAACGATATCTATTTTACGCTTAGCCAAATGACAATAGTTTGGCTCGTTAGAGTCAAAAATGCTTTATTTCGATCAGTATTACCCCTGCTTGCTATTGAATATCAGAGTTGATTAATTAAAAACTCGTTAAATTCGTATAAACTATGAAATAAATAAAAAAAGAGAATTCGGCGTTCGAGTTGCACATGATCGGGTGAAGAACTACGTGTGTTTAAAATTTGGTGGCTCTATGTACCGCCGATTTTTCACAATACGAAAATCATATGTGAGATTTATTTTAATTTGTTTAACCAGATATTTTATATTCTGAATCGTTACTGCCACTTCTATCTTTCCGTTTTCCTCCCCCAGAAAACAAATTAACTAGCGTGTAATTAATTGAAGATTTGAGAGGGTTTAGAAAGAGAATGTTTTTCACAGTTAACACCACGTTACTGGATGTGCTTTTCTATAATAAGAAATCCTATCTTCGACTTTACATTATAATGAGATACATTCCGGTGACGTCGGAGGTCACATGATATAAGAACTGCTAATGTAAACAAACAAGCTTGTGCTGTGGCAGATGTGTGGAAAATTCGGGAACTTTGCTTATTTTTAATTAGTCATGTAATTTGCATTTCATCTTTAATTATTATTTCATCCATTAATTAACTGTTCATTCATTTGGTTTGTATAATTTTGGTTAACTCTTATATGCTATTGTTATCCTCATGATACTCTTTTGTTCGCTGCTTTACCATGCTTTGATTGTTAATATTTAATTATGAATTCTTTCCTTGATCGGATAATTGATTCATTTACACTGGTTATCATAAATTAAGGAAAAATGACAAAAATCAAGATTACTGAAAACGTTACATGTAGAATTTTATGAAACTTACCCACAATATACAACACATAGTAAGGTATCAAATAACATAAAAACAAATTACCAGACAATTATGGTAGTATAGAAATTAGCACATGTATAAAATGAACAAATCGAAGGTTCAGTTTGCTATAGGAAACGTACCTTCAATATGGAATAATCGCCTCTAGAGCAATACAGCACATCAGCGATGTGTGATGCTTTCAATTATGCGGTCTACAGTTACATAGAGCGAGAGCCATGCTCTTGCAAAGCGTTGCAAGCGCGGCAAGGGCTAAGGAAGCGGATGAGAACAGCTAGCGTCTCCTAAAGCATCCCAAAGTGCTCGATAGGATTCAAGTCCGGGGTCGAGCGGCCACTCCATGCGCATAATTGTTTCTGTTGAAGATAATCATATACGATGCAAGCCCTGTGTGGTCTTGCAGTTGTCCTGTAACAGGAAAGCATCACCTATGCTCCGGCACATGGGTGCAATAAGCATCAAGGATGTCCTCTCTATAAACATGAGCATTCACGGTTCCCCTTGGAAAAAACGTGGAGGTCTGTGCGTCCACCCAAAGAGATGCCACCCCAAACACAGACACTGCCCCTTCCGTATGCATCTCTTTCATGGATGTTTGACGGATGATAACGGGTTCCAGGTTCTCTCCGTACCAAATAACGCCTATTATCGCTTTATAGACTAAACCTGGACTCATACGTAAAGCGAATAGCCCTCCATTGCTCAGGCGTCCAGTGGACATGTTGTAGTGTCCACTGCAAACGGTCCCTCCTATGGCGTGCTTAAGCGGCACGCAAATGGTTGTTCGCGTCGCATACAGACCACCTTCGTGAAGACTTCAATGCACAGTTGACGCTGACACCAACATCCCGGTAACTTACCTCTCATATGAAAAGATCCCTTCTCTCTATTCAGTATAATATTCAGTATAATCAATCTTTGGTTGATAGCAGCTACTTGAAATATGCAGGGCATACCGTACCACGTCAACACTAGCCCTACAACAACTAGCAGGAATTCCTCCCCTAGATTTGATAGTAGAAAGGAGGCAGCTATCGTAAGGGTTACCAGGCTGGGTCAAACTTCAACACTCTGGGGTCATAGTATCACCACTCGGACTACGAGGATCAAAACCACTGCAAAACTTTCAGCCAGCAGCATTTAATCTTCCCGACAGTATCAGTAAAAACGACAAACCAATCAGAGTACAGTAAAACCTTTTCAGTGGTCCAAAAACGAGACGGTACGGGCAGCGCCTTCTACCACTAGAAAATGGAGTTGTACATTCGAGTGGAAAGGAAATTAGGCTTGAAACAACTCGCTTACCAAGCAAGCTTCTAGCTATCAGTGCTGCAATAGATATGCGAACAATGTCAAAGGGAAATCTCCATCTCAGTGATTCGGCACCAAGTCTGGCGCTATCGAAGTCAAAACAGCCGGAGTCCTTTGGGTATACAGAATTCAGATACAGCTTCTACAATGCCTATTTCGCAAAGACCCACTTTAATGAGTTCCCGCTCACACAGGGATTCAAGGAATGAAGCCGCTGACCTACTGGCCACCAGACAGCCACTGCACGGATATATTAGAACGCCAACTAAACTTCCTTGGTCTCATATTAAGCGAACAACTTTCACAAGTCTGCTACAAATTGGCAAAGTAGATGGACAGGCAAGAGGTAGGACGACGACATTTCGCTTACTGCCAAAAGTTAACTGGAAAAAACCCCACTGTGCTAGCCTAACACAGTTCTTGACAGGTCATGGACCATTCCAGTACCTGAACGATTTCAGACTTAGGGATACTCCTTTTGCGAATGCGGAGAGAAAGGCGACACGGACCATTATTACTTCCATTGTGTACAACAAGAACCTGGACTTGAAGAAACAGCGGACTGTGGACAATGTGGACAAATAACACTCAAAAACAGAATAGCCCTTGATAAAATAGAGAAAATCTCAAGACACTGCTAAGCAGAAAAGAAACAACCGTGGATAATATTATAATATTTCAAATGTTCAGAACTTAAAGCAGAAACCAGAATAACGCTTAGTGCCTTGCAGTTATCAATATTTAAAAAACTGTTATTAGTATATAA